TTTACTTTTTGTGGAGGGGGGAGTGAATAATATTCCCTGAAATAACAACTACTGTAGGAGTTTAAAATGACACTGTTTATCCTCCTGACTGTTCTGGTACATTTCCAGAAGCCTGTCTACATAGCACTGCGGACTGGCTTTCGTCCATAGGCAGGTGCCAGCAGGGAGTGGGGTCACCGTGGGACATTGAAGCTGACTTCCTTGTGGTGGTCCCAGTGAGGAAACAGCCCTCCCAGTTCACGTTTCTCAGACTGCACACCAGACAGTCGTTTCATCAGTGGAGATATAACCTTTGATATAACCTTTTGCAACCCTGAGTAATTTTTACATAAAAAAGGCTTAACTTTCATTTGTAAATTTTTTGTGTTAATTTAACATCGTTTTGCCTTCAAAAGAATTAAGTTGAACAGATGAAGTCATTTTTTTCATTCTTCCTCTAGAATCAGTTTGAAAATACCTGCCTTTACACGTGTGTTTCCTGCATCTGTGTAAATGGAAAGTTACAATACTGTCCTGTGGCATTGTTTTCTTTTTTTGTTGTTAATCCTCACCCATGGATATTTTCTCCATTTTGGGGGTGCGGGGGGAGAGAATGGAAGGGGAGGGAGAGGAGAAGAGTGACAATCATTGATGTGAGAGACAAGCATCGATTGGTTGCCTCCTGCACGCACCCCAACTAGGGCTGGGGATCGAACCTGCATCTCAGGTATATGCCCTTGACCAGGAATCAAACCTGTTTGCGGACTGATGCTATAACCACTGAGCCATGCTGTCCAGGGCTGTGGGCTTGTATTCTTGATTGTTCCTGGAACCATGAGGCTCTTCGTGGGTGACACTTAGAAGAAGGATGGCTTTTCCTCCTGCACATCACTGTTCAGCACCAGGGCCAAGTACAGGGTTTGGACAAGGCGAAGTGGTCCTAGTGCAGGTATTGGAGCATCAGAAGCCCTCTTGCTTCCCCCCCAACCTGTGATTCGAGAGGCTGGGCAGGGCCTGTGCGCCATGGTGCCAGTGGGAAACCTCATAGTGCAGAGGGCACAGCTATGGTGTAAGGAGAGGTTAGAGTATGGAGGACAGCCTAGTAGGAAGCTGGTTCTGAAGGTGGGAGTAAGAAGTAAGGTTCACTGTGAGTTTACAGAGACCTCAAGTTGTCATCCCTTCTTGAGAATAGGGCTGCCCTGCCGGCATTCCACACAGACAGACAGACACACACACACACACACACACACACACAGTCTCACTTTGACAAGATGTTGACTTGCTGTTTGGAAAGCAACACAGCTCTCGTCCGGTGTTTATATTGCTTTAAATATGTTATGTAAACACCAGGAGCTTGCTAAGCAGAGTTCAGTTCACTTGTTATTCCCGAGAAAGGCCACTCAGTCTGTGGCAGTGTTGGTAGTTAGGCTGAGCTCCAGTTCACATCTGCACTGCGCAGTGTTGATGGCTGTCAGGGAGGCAGGGTGGCATCATCCAGTATCTCTAGTGGTTCAGGATGCTGCCGCCCGCCCGTACTGCAGATTCACATGGGATTCTTCTGCTTAAACACTTAAGCTTAAATATGCGCAGTATCACTAGATACCACCTTCAGTTTGGCTGTATTCACAGTCACTTAGCATCGGTGCTTGAATGTGGGAAGGTTCACCCACCACAGGTCCTATCTTGAGATTTAATGCCCGTGTGCATGGGTCCTTCCTGAACTGCTAAACAACCCAGAAGTGGCCACCTGTACTCTTTCTGTTGCCCCGTCTCCCCTTCATTCATTCTCAGCACAGATTGTGTCACTCCCTGTCCAATCCTCTGTGTTTGCCTCTTTGCCCAGTTCTTCCTGCTCTGGTCACACTAGCTCCATTTCATTCCCAGAGCACATGGCCCTTCCCAGCCCAGGCCAGTGTAAAATTCTTCTTCTTTTGGGACCTTTTCTGTGGTTCTGCCCATGGGTGGCTGCTTGCAACCCTCTCCTTACTGAGGCTGGCTCTGGTCTATCTGAAATGGTCAGCTTTGCCCCTATGCTGTGTGACGCTTCCTGTCTTGCAGCTGCCACTTCTCTGTTCATTGTACCCACCCTCCTCTCCACTCATCAGCTCAGTATGGGCAGCTCTGCTGGCTGACTCAGGTGTCCATGAGATGTAGCCGAGAATTTCAGTGTGTTCACTTCCAGCTTGGCCCAGGGCAGTGAGGAGGTGATTCTGAACCAGATGTGGGGAAGCTGGCCTGTTGTCATTTTAGCTGGTGAGGCAGCCAGCCACCTAGAGGATCTCAGGATTCCTGCATTCTAGCAACTTCCTCACTGATCAGAGCCTCTACTCCTCAAAGATCTCTGTCATGAGGTGCTAAATGTCCCTCTCAGGCTTGATTTGATGGGAACTCAGTATGGTGTGTTTTGGGGGGTTTGGCACAAGGGGCAGAGTTTGTTTCTGGGAGCCTCCCAGGGAAGGCGTAGATGGCCTTCGAGCCCCGTCCTCCAGTCCTCCGAGTCCTCCTGCTGCCCCTTTAGGTCCCCGTGTCTGGGACACACCCTTGCATCCCGTCCTGGGGACTCTGGCATGAATATTTAGTCCCACTGAGTCCATTAACTATCTTTAACCATGTTTTGAACCAAAGTATTGTTTCCTGGTCCCAGAAGACTGTCCTGCTTCACCACCTGCCCTTTTCTCTATAGCAGCCCTCCTCTCCCTCCTGTATCTCCCATTCCTGTTCCTCCTTCCCTATGCCTTTTCTCCTCCCACTTCCCTCCCTCCCTCTGCTTTGCTTCATGGGTTGACTGCTACTGATGAACGGTGGTTCTTCTGTGCTGGAGTCCCATCTCCTCCATATTTAGGTTTCTCTGTAAATGGCTAAATGTGATAGTAGCTGACTGACGGTCAGAAAAGTGCATATATCTGAGCATATGGGCATGGTACCATATCTCCACTCTCAAATCATTGACGCTTCTGAGAAATGATACCACTTACTCACCTCTTACTCTGAGTTCCAAAAATTAGATTTGTGATTTGTTTTTTGGCTTTAGCCTGAGCCAGGAGCCTAGCCTCAACTGCCCTAAACGGTCCTTTAACTGCCGGTCTGCCTGTGGCAAAGGGTCATCTTGCCAGAGTTACCACGCCTCGCCTGATGTTCCTGGAAATCTCATGGTTCCAGAGCACGGCTGGGAGAGGCCGCCTGTGAAGGAGGCAGGGGGTATGAGTCACAGACAGCTCGCCACTCAGTTTTCTGCTCTGCCCCAGGCCTTTGGCAAAGCAGGGCAGGTTGGCCACCCTTTCTGAGGACTTCTCTGCGTATGGAAGCTGGAATGTAAATATCAGGACACTTCAGAGTAAAGTGAATGAGAAATTTTGAAGCAGTGGTGACTGTGGCTGTGACAGTACTTGGCAGCCCGAGCCTAGTGGACACTCAGCAGAAAGCTGGTGTCCCTCTGATAGCTCGGCCAGCCAGAGGGAGGCTCTAACTCTCCCTGTTGACGTCCTTCCCTCCCACAGTGGCGTATTTGTGCAGTAACTATATCTTGTACCTTAACTTGCTTCTGACCCACATTAGGGTCAGAAGAGATTGTTTGGAAAGCTGCTGAGTTTCAAGGCAAAGTCGGTAGTTCTTCTGAGTTGTGGTCTTAGTGAAGTGCTTCTCCTTCTGGGTGGGAGAGCTGGCCCCTCACTGTCCCCCCTCTTTCACTGTGGCCTTGCTGAAGGTAGAGAAAACAGGGCCCTTCCCACACATGAATGTCGAGTTCTGGGTGTTTGCATTTGAGATGACCCTTGAGAAAAACAAAGGCTGGGGCATGTAGACACAAGGCTTGGTAGTATTCATGCCATTATTAGTAACCTTTGAGATCTTAAAGCCACAGATGTGCATTCCACAGGATTAAGGGAAGAATGAGTGGCAGGAGAGGAAATTTCGTCGTGAGGAGAGGAGAGGGGTCATGGTGCTCTGAGCAGGAGGCCAGGAAGTGCTTCTGATCTGTATACTTCCAGGTTCACTGCTGGGAAGCCAAGGGAGAGGGGTGAGGTATCACACAGAAGGACAGTGGAAGGACTCAGAGTGTGGAGAGGAGTGTGGGAAGCTTAGCATCCCCTGAGCCCTTTATTCATGCTGAGCTGGCTGCCACCCAACTCCTCAGCAGGTCAGAACAACAGCTTACATCATGCAAATAGTTTGTCTCACTTAGGATGTGCTCAGCTTCCAAGCGGCCTCTTCTCGGAACAGTTCCAAGTGGAGACTTGAGTCACAGAGTCCTGTAAGCACAGGATTGTGCATTGATTCTCATCCCAGAGATGGAACACTCCGTGTGGCTGTCCTGCGCTAACATGGCCAGATTCACAGCCAGAACCCAAGCGAATGTACTCTGTGAGCAGCCTCTCTCTCTTCCCTGATGTTGGAACTCTCAGGCCACTCTCATTTGCTGCCCTTCCAGATTCAGGTGAAGCTGAAAACAAACACAAGTATTAAAAGGCTCGTCCTGCTGGAGTTGTAAAGAGAACCCAGGGTTTGAGGCTAGAGCTTGTCTGATGCCACCTCTTCCAGACACACAGGCCTGTGTGTGGGGTCTTGGCAGCATTGTCATCGGCGCTATGGGACCTCCACAGTTACCTGTTATCAGACTTGTGAGAGCTCTGGGCAGGCCATGGGGTCGGTGGCAAGCATGCTGACAACATACAGCGTTCTGCCTTCTGTGAGTTATCAGGTGGGCTTAGCCCTATGGAAGCCAGTCTCCAAGGCAGAACATTTTTATGTTAAAACATTACATTGATCTTCCTGAGATGATCAACAGAATCCCAGGCCGATCCTTTGAGAATGATGTCCTTATTTCTGTTGTTGATCAACTGTAAGATCCCATACCACTCTTTTGTGACCACAGGAATTGCCCCGGTCTTCCTGGCCAACACTTGGGGAAGCTAGGGGAGCGATATGCCGACAGCCCCCATGGATCTTTCTTGTGCATATTTGAGCTGAGCACTGGGCCCTTTGGAGTGTGTGAGCTTGTCTGAGACTCCCCTTCTCTCTTTCAGAGGACTACCCCAACGGCACCTGGCTGGGGGACGAGAACAACCCCGAGATGCGGGTGCGCTGCGCCATTATCCCCTCCGACATGCTGCATATCAGCACCAACTGCCGCACGGCAGAGAAGATGGCGCTGACGCTGCTGGACTACCTCTTTCACCGGGAGGTGCAGGCCGTCTCCAACCTCTCGGGCCAGGGGAAGCATGGCAAGAAGCAGCTCGACCCCCTCACCATCTATGGGATCCGGTGTAAGTGTGGGTTTCCTGTTCTCTGCTCACCTCCTTAAAGAAGGACCTGGCTGGAGGGTGGGCCCTGTGAAGTGGGGCTTTGGGACGAGTCAAGATCTCCACTATTGGGTAGAAGACGTCAGAACTAGTCACAGAGCAGGGAGAGGGGTTTCTGGGTCGAGCATTTTCTTTAGTAAGTATTGCCTGGTACCCAGCCCATGGGAAAGACAGGGAGCGTGGGCCTTTCAGACCCTGAGAATCATTTTGAGTGGCTTACTGAGAAACTGTATGTGAAATCAGCTGACATCAGTCCCTCAGGTGGGAATTAATTCATCAGTTCTCAGATGAACAGTGTTGCAGGAGTCAGTAGACTTTTCCTAAGGGACATGCAGTTGATGTGTTAGGCTGCGGGCATAGGGTCTGTGTTGTGAACTATTCAGCACTGAAGCAGCCACAGACCAAATGTAAACAAATAGGTGTGGTTGTGTTCCATAAACTTAACTTTCAAAAGCAGACAGAAGTCTGCCAACCGACTGCCAATGCATGCTTTAGAGCAGGGGTCCTCAAACTTTTTAAACAGGGGGCCAGTTCACTGTCCCTCAGACCGTTGGAGGGCTGGACTATAGTTTTAAAAAAAACTATGAACCAATTCCTATGCACACTGCACATATCTTATTTTGAAGTAAAAAAACGGGAACAAATACAATACTTGTATTTGCATGTGGCCCACGGGCCGTAGCTTGAGGACCCCTGCTTTAGAGCATGATGCCTAGAGCAGAGGGCACCACGCAGATCTGTGGGCATGGCACTCATGTGTGTGCAGCCTTAGAACATGTAAGTTTGCATGGTGACAAACCATGTGATGGTATGTGACAGTGTAACCCACAGTGTGAGGTGCTGTTGGGATGTAAAGATGAACAAGAAGTGGCTCCAGCTGCACAGTATGCAGTCAGATATATGTGAATAGCTGCAGCCCCAAGAGTCACAGGGCGGTTCACCATGCTGCAGTGGTTGATGGCGAAGGCCCTGAGGGAGAATGGTGTTTGTGCCAAGGCTCCGAGCGTGGCCTGGATTGGCTCAGCATTGTGCAGTGTGATGGCCTCTGGGTGGTGGGCCACTGTTCCCGTAGGGAGTCATAGGGCTACAAGCAAGGGGTGCTGATGATTTGGAGGGGTGCCTTGGAACGTGTGTGCAGACTGTGACACACAGGTTGTTAAGCAGAGGCTTGGAGAATGTTCCACAGCAGTGGTGGGGAAGCTGGGCAGTGGGACTCAGACAGAAGCACATGGGGATGGGGATGGGGATGGGGTGGGATGAATGGACATGCTGTGGAGTCACCACTGGGAGTCTGAGTGGCGTTGGGGAGGCACTGCATCGTCAGAACAGGCAAGTCCTATTTCCCTGCAGGTGGGGAAATTGGCCACCTTTTGAGTGCTCCTTTATTTGGGAACCATTGCAAATTGCTGCCTTCTCAGTGTTAAAATTCAGATGGAATTTTGAAAGGTTAAAAGTATTTGTTGACCTTTTTTCCTTTTGGCCCAATTTAGTTTGTATTGCTGATTGTTACTCAAAAAACTGAACAAATGAACGAATGGATTAAATACTGAGCACTGAGTTTAAATAGTGGCGAGTGTAGGCATTGGCTACTTGGTCACGCACAACCAATTCTCTGCTGTTTCTGCAGAATCTGGGTGACATGGACACCCAGTAATGCTCAGGTGGTCATCTTTCCTTGTGTCTGTTTTCACATGGCTGTCTTCTCCGTATTTTCATTGTCACCTGGCGTATTCTCTATGTCTCCGTCTCACACAGTCCTGTTGTCTTGTGCCTCTGTCGTCACATGTTTCATCTTCTCCCTGTGTCTCGTCTCCTCTCCTTATAGGGATATCCGTCATATTGGATGTAGAGCCCCTGCTCTCCAGTATGACCTCATCTTAATGTAATTAATCACATCTGCAAAGATTGTATTTCCAAGGGAGGTCACATTCTGAGCTTGGAGAGCCTGACAGCGGCATCGGGCTCCCCTGCTATAAACTGAGGAGTGGTGTCACTTATCGTGCTTATCTTTAGTCAGTGGATCACCACTGCTCAGGGAGAAGGGGTGGACCTGGCCTTGAAGCCAGGACACACTGGGTATGCGAGGTGCATGGTGTGTCAGTGAGGCGTGTGACCCCATCCGCATGGGGGAGCATGCTGCCAGCTTCCCCTCACTCAGAGCTGAAGATTTCTGTTGTTTTTCTAGGCCAGTCACTGTGAAGTCAAGACGTAATTTTAAGAAATAAATTGCTGGCACTCAGATTTCTGCTTCTCCCCCTCTCCTCCCCCCCCTTGAACTTGAGATTACATTAGCAGTGATAGTGTTTTCATTCCTTTGTGACTGATAAGCCTCTTGCCACCCACCGGGGATGCGAGATTATGTCTCTGTGCATTTGATTTCCTCTGTTTCTCTTTCCCACAGTGTGTCTCAGCCCCGCTGTGGAGCTCATTATTTGAGAGCTGGGAATCTGTTTTTGTGATTTGAACCACCATTGTCAACCATGGGCATTCTGAAAAGTGGGAAGGCAGTCAACAGTGACGGACTCTCAGATCTTCAGGAGGTGGCCCGATATCTTGTTAGCAAAGCAGATGGGCCAGCTCTCAGGGGCTGTCTTTCTGGGGGCGGCCTGGGGGCTTGCCTGCTGAGCAGCTCTCCCACAAAGATGCTGAGAGAGCTATTTGGCTCACCCTCGGGTGAGATGGCTCTGCAGCTCCCCAGGGACCCTGTGCAAGGACCCGTCAGCAGCGAACCAGAAATGGCCTTAGAGTTGAGCAGTGTCTCCTACACAGGGCAGCCAGATGATAGCCTAGTGGTGGGGAGTCATACGAGCAGAGCCTGTGGCGTGAGATTGATGTCATCTTCTCCCTGGTCCCCTGAGTGTCCCCCCAGGGGGTCTCTTGGGTGCTGTTGAAGGACAGAGTGAAGCCCTCCTGGGGTTTATGCTGTGACCGGTTCTTCTCCACGTGGGTGGGCGCTGGGAGGCCTGACTTTAAGAGTCTCATGCTCTACCGACTGAGCTAGCCGGGCACTTCCAAGGGAGGCCTGACTTTAAAGCCCGGTCTCACTCCTAACTGATAATTCAGCTTGTAACTGAAGTGAGGGTAATGGCATTCTTATTTCATGAGGTTTTCTTATGAGATAAAATGCTTTACAAGTGTGAAGTACCAGTTAAGTTCAAATGAAGAATGCTATAGGAGAAGTCAGAACAGCAGCATCCAGCAGTACGTGAGGTCAGGGGGCTGCATCCTCTGCCATCAGGACTCCTTCTTGGAGCTGCCTGCTGGTGGCCAAGGGTTCTTGAGGGCAGAGCTGACTCCACTGCCCCATTGGATCCATCCCCTGTCGCTCCCCCTAGGGCTCTCAGCAGGGGAACATTTGTGTTGCTGATTCATTAGTTAGTTTTTCTTGGCAGTCACCAGGGTGGCATTTGCCATGCATTTGAGTCTTAAGTTGCTTTTGGAAGGAATTATGTAATATGATGTCTTAGGAGAATTAAAAAATGGATAATATATAACTACATGATGTATATTTTTTTTTGTCAAAGGATGTAAGCCAGGTTTTCACTGGCAAATTGGGTTTTACAAAGTTGAATTTATATGTTCATGCTTTTGCTCATTTTTTATATTTATATATCTGTGTGTCTTGTATATATTTTTTGTTCCTGACAAGTTTTTAAAATTGTATATAATTTCATTTATCCCTTGAGGCATTCAGTTGGTTTTCCTTGAATGTGAAGGTGTGAGAACAGGAGGATGGTTTGTAGAATGTTTCTCTCTTTTTTTAAATATACTTTTATTGATTTCAGAGAGGGAGAGAGAAATAGAAACATCAATGATGAGAGAGAATCATTGACTGGCTGCCTCCTGCACACCCCCTACTGGGGATCGAGCCCACAACCCAAGCATGTGTTCTTGACTGGAATTGAACCCGGGACTCTTCAGTCTGCAGGCCAATGCTCTATCCACTGAGCCAAATCGGCTAGTGCTAGAATGTTCTCTTGCAGCATATAACCTAATTAGAGGCCTGGTACATGAAATTTGTGCACTGCGGAGGGGAGGGAGGGCAGGCATCCCTCAGCCCTGCCTGTGCTCTCTCGCAATCTGGGACCCCTCGGGGGATGTCCTGCATTGAGCATCTGCCCCCTGGTCGTCAGTGCGCATCATAGCGACTGGTCAATTGGTCATTCTGGTCGTTCTGCCATAATGGTTATTTAGGCTTTTACATATAGATATAGATTTAACTATAGATATAGATGGATAGATACAGATAGATAGATATAGATACATGTAGATAAGATATTTTGATACTGTGTGTGGTTGCTGTTTCTTTTCTTGTCGTGGAGACCACAGTTGTAGTTGGGCAACTATGCAACTATAGTTAGGAGTTGGGATCTCCTGTAGCTACATAATTCTAGTTTTGATAGTTGCACTCCCCTATAACTACAGTCAGGAGTTGGGTTCTCCTGTAGATACATAACTGTATCTCTGATAGTTGCATTCCCCTGTAATTACAGCCAGGAGTTGAGTTCTCCAGTGACTATACAACTACAGCTAATGTTTGTTTCTTCTGCAACTACGGCAGTGGTTGGCTTTTGTTGTCACTAATGTTGGTCACTAGCCTGGAACTTTGTGAGGCCATCCCCTGCACCTAAAGCCATACCTGGCAAGTAGCAATCCCTCAGTAGGTATTGATGAATGATTCTGTGATTATTTTAGAGATGACCTGAATATCAGAAAGCAAAGATTCATGCTGCTTCATTTATGTATTTCCTTTTATGCATGAGGATTACAGTGCTGCTAAAACTCCCTCAGGTTTTTGTTCTTTCAGATCCTATAAATCCTATCTCTCCTTCCCTCAATTTTTTTAATCTAGATTATAGAAATTTGGGTTTTCATTACATTTAGAGTCAAAGATGTCTTAAGCATATGCTCATAGAAAAACTCCAGAAATGTCTTTCCAAGATGAAAGAAACTTTTGATACTTAATAGAACACATACTGCCTTTGTTTTGATTATTTGTAGTATTTTGGTCTTGAGAGGGACAGATTTTAGGAATTGTGCATCAAGTTAATTCTTAGTAGATGGCCCTAACTTAATGCTCTTAGTAGTTGAAACAGGATGTTTTTTAGCTTAATCTTTTTATTATTCAAGTTTTGAATTTCATCCATTTGTTTTCCCATTAATCAGTGAAGTTGCATGAGCCAGCTAGAGAGGAGGTCACCCTGCTCTGAAGCATTTCTTGTAGTTCCCACGTTCATGACCTTACTTTCTGTTGATTCAGCATAAAGAAGAGGTGGTATGGTCTAGTGAGAGGTGGACAGGGCTGGCAATGAAGGGTCTCGATCTGCCACCCACTCCTCAATGGCCTCCCATGTCACTGGGTTCCTCTTTGTTGATAAGGGGGTCTCTGAATGTCATTCGGTCACATATTGAGAGCTATCTGTGATGTAAGAGGTTAACAAATGTGGGTGCCAGTAATATGCTCTGTTATGTGCAGGCTAAACTACTGGACTGCAAGGCTACATGCACCCTCTGTGACTAGCAGTTCAGTTCTATTTGGGTGTGGGGGCTCTAGGGCAGTGGTCGCCAACTGGTGATCTGTGGACCACTGTGGTCTGTGAGGTCTTAAAGGTAGGCGACCACTGCTCTAGGGAGTAAAAAATCACCTCCGCCCTTAGGGAGTTTCCATTCTGATGGGGAGGCAGATGGAGACACATGGAGAGCTCCACAAGCCAAATGCAGACTCAAGTTGCAATGGAGATGTTTTAAGAAGAGTTGTAGTCACCAGTTAGTCATCGAGTGTTGAAGCATTTAGTATGGGCTCAGATAGTCTTGGTTCTTGGCATACATGGGTACACAAAACAAAGATCCCTGTGTCTCTGAGAGAAGCAAAGAGTAAACACAATAAATATATAAATTCTCTAAAATGTTAGAGACCAAGGACGGAAGGAGAGGTGGGAGGAACCTTAGGGTCAAAGGGACTGGTTAAGGGTAGGATAATTGAGGTCCTATTCAAGCCAAGACTTGAAAGAAGGGAGGGAGGCAGCCAGGAAGACATAAATAAACATAGATGGAGTCTGGAAAAACAGTTTTGATAAAATTATTGGAATCTTTGATTTTATTGTCGACATTAAGGAAGTTAGAGGAGAGAGAAAAGTTTGTGGAGCATCTGGGAAGCTCCTGTGAGCCTCACCACCTAGCTTGTTTGAGTGGGTCCAGTCAGAGTTATTTAAAACTTAAATAAATGAAAAGAATTTATAACATATAACCAGCATGCCTGCAGTGGGGAGCGGAGGGACTCTCAGCCCCAATCACATTTTTGTGTTCAAATTGCTCCCAAACAGCCAGGACCCAAAAGGAAGGCCTTCACCTCATGGTGTTTTTATTTGGGACGTTTTCTTCCAGGTCACCTCTTTTATAAATTTGGAATCACAGAATCTGACTGGTACCGAATCAAACAGAGCATCGACTCCAAATGCCGGACAGCCTGGCGGCGGAAACAGCGAGGCCAGAGCCTGGCCGTCAAGAGCTTCTCTCGGAGAACGCCATCCTCCTCCTCGTACAGTGCATCAGGTACGCTTAGGGAAGCAGCCTGGAGCAGTTTGCGTTGCAGGACTTGGGGGGTGGTCCTGAATAAGGCCCCTTACCTGCCGAATCTATAGCTGCCCTCGGATACTAGCAATTCAAACCTTAACTCTGTGCACACATGCCAGCTGAAGTTATTTAGAAAATGGCTGCTTCTGTGACGGTGCGGAGCCACAAGCAGACCCACTGAGGCCCTTGCTGGCAATAGAAGAGGGCATGTGGACCAGGGCCACCACCACTGATGCGGTGTGGGCTGAGGCCGAAGGACGGTTCAGTCAGGACATGCCATGCGCTGTGCTGAGCAGCTCCTTTACTTCCTCCCTCTGCCGAGTTATGTACCATGTTGCTCGGTGCGAGGTGTTTGGAGTAGGAAGTAACACAGATGGGTAAGGAGGAGGGTGGCATTCAAGGTGGGCTTTTAAAAAACCCAGGAGAGAGATGAGCATAATTATATTCCCTTGCCTTCAGGTGTTTATTTGTCTGGAGAGGATGTAGAATGTCTTTCTGAGCCATTATATTTAGTCTCATGCTCCTACTAATAAACCCTGGCAAGTGCCGCCTTCCTGCTCAGTTTTGGAGAGGCCAGGGGCTTCCTCCTCGTGAGCGCTGGAATCAAATTAGTTTTGAGAGAAGCATAGAGCACATTCAAGTTTTAAAATCAAACTTCAAGAAAAGCACATTGCTTTTTAAATTTGTGTTGTTTTAATTGTTCTCTGTTTTAATATACTGCGTACTTGCCTAAAACTAGGTGAAGCAAAAATAGGTGGTTAAAGGGACTTCTGGAATTTTTGTCGTTGTTCTTTATGCAAACTCAGCCGGTGGTTAAAGGGACTTCTGGAATTTTTGTCGTTCTTTATGCAAACTCAGCTTAACAAAGCAAATCTGATCATGTAAGGCTATTCTGGTGACAGAAATGATTCAGTAAAATGTAACTAAACCAGGATCATATTATTGGTAGTAGTTCCATCTGGGGTGTCTTGCTTACTTTTGAATTATCAGCTGACATCAAAGGAACTTCCAAATAAATGCTATAAATAAAATTCTGAGCCAAGGTTAGTACTGCCAGTTTGAACACGAACCATAAAGCCACTAGTTTCAAAGCATTTAAAAAAAATGAATTTATTGAAACATTTGAGTTGCTCTCTCTTATCTAGCAATACTGTATAAATTTTTATATGTGCTTGATTTTAAGATGGCTACATTTTATTGTTTAAAATACAATTCAGCATTTTCCCCCCACAGGTCTCATTGGTGAGATGAAGACCTTAGGTAGGCATCTATTTAGTGCCCCATATTTTAGAGTTGCAGGGAACCAGCTCTTGCAGCTGGTTTTCCATTGGACATAGAGAAGATCCAGGCTGGGGAGGAGAGGAGGCCCATTGGGTGGCCTGTCCTTTCTGTTTCAGTCTCTTCCAATGGGCACTGTGCTCCAGAGCCGCACCAGCACTGTCTCTTGGCCTCAGGTCTATCCGACCATGCTTGTCTCCTGTCACTTGCCGTAGATCTTGGTCTGTTTTTGATCACAGAGTCACCAATGCAAGTTTTTGTACTAGACTTTGATATCTATATAAATTACAAAACATGAATTTAAAGTGGTCTTTATGTTGTATAATTATAGGGAGCTATTGATTAAATGGTAAATTCAATAATTTGAATCTTAGGTTTGGGAACAATTATACACACAAATGCTATCTATGGTTTTTTGGAACTCTGGGGACTGTCATTCCTTTTGATTATATTTTTGAAAACCAGCAAAATCAGTTGATTTTTATTAACATTGTAGCAGAAATTATTTAGGAACCTGTTTAGCTATATAGCTCTTATTAACTGGGAGAGTGGATTTTAAATGTTTTGATCATTACCCTCTTAAAGAAGTTTGGAAAAGTGTTCTTCTTCGCATATTTTTAAGTTGACATTTTAAAATGTTGTCACCTAAAATTTTTAATTATACTTTGAAATAATTTAAAAGGATGTAATTTCTGGCATACTGCTGTATTACTTACTTACTAACTTATTTATTTATTTTTATTGATTTCAGAGAGGGAAACATCAGTGATGAGAATCATTGATAAGCTGCCTCCTGCACACTCACTACTGGGGATCGAGTCCCCAACCCTGGTCATGTGTTGACCTCCTGGTTCATAGGTTGATGCTCAACCACTGAGCCACACCGGTCGGGCTGCTATATTACTTTAAAAAACATACATGCAGGGACTCAATATACCATGTCAATTTGATGTTCATCATTAAATTATTTAAAAAATACATGAAAAGCTTTTCTCTAGTAAAAGTACTTAAGAAAATTTCTCTGATTGAGATTTTACAGTTAAAATTAATACACATTATCAAAACAAACATCATTTGGGATTAAATATAGAAAGTAAAATTTTATTAGAGGTGTATCTTTAAATAAGTGAGTGGAGCTTTTTTCTTTAGTTAGTTTCATTCTCCAAGGACAAATACTACTTATTGCTGATTTAAAACAGAGTTTAATATCTACTTTTTTTACATTTTTCATTTTGTCAGTATATATCCTGAGAAACTTCATTTAAATAAGTAGATGTGAATTGTCTATTGGTGAATAGTCAGTTCTTTAGATTCCTTCTATCTACAGGTCAGAAATCTTTCTTATCTAACCCTAATTACTGATAAGCTCTACAAAATGCCATGCTCTCTGTTGGGGCATGTTGACTTGGATTTCAGAATGAAGAATTTCCCTCTTCTGTGGGAGTTTGGGTTTGGGGTTGGGGAAGAGAAGGCAGCCTGGATGTGTGTACCTATGCTTGTCTCCTGGGTTGATGCTGAGCCGTCTGTTTTCCCACAGAGAGCCTGATGAGCACGCCACCACCCGCCAGTGAGATACCACAGCCCCAGCCGCAGGCCCTGCACTATGCCCTGGCCAACGCCCAACAGGTCCAGATCCACCAGATTGGAGAGGATGGACAGGTCCAAGTAGTATGTACCTTTCTACTAGCCTGTCTCCATGAATGAACTGGAAGGGAGGGTGTGGCAGGGATTAGGAAAACCAAGACCAGTTCTCCCTGTGTTTCTGGATCACATGGATAGTTTGGGATGAGGTTAAAAGTGCATGTTAAAGTAGAAGTAATTAGGGTGCGAACTCTTACATTTCAAAAGGAAGGTCATTACTGGGTGACCCTGACATTGTCGAGGGCCCTTCATGGCTGTACTGCACCCGCTGGTCACTGTCAGCTCTAAGGGTGCATGCTGCTGCCTGTCCTCCTGGGAGGTGTCATAGATATTTTCTCACTTTGGAAACACAAGTGCCCTTTTACTGGGGGAAGAAAAAGTAATTTTCTTCTAGGGTCAATGAAAAAGCTGGTCACCTTAGTTATTGTGTAGCATTTCCTTTGGCTAGTGGGACTTGGGTTGAGCTTGTGTGGGCAGTTAGCTCAGCGGTGAGTTCACTTAGCCTTGTTGCTCTGTGTGGGTCCTGTAGCCAAGGTGTGGGGGGCAGGAACTTTGCTAGAGAATGGGATGTTTTCAGTGTGCCCCTGAGATTGTGTTGATGTGTAAGTCACACCTAGACTCTTTTTGTACATCTGCATCACCAGGGCTTTCTCCTGGAACCCCTATCCCATCCAAGGGTGACCTCAGTTTGATGTCACCTGTCTCAGTTTGATGTTACACTGCCTGGAAAGGGGTGCGCTTCCAGAAAGTATTGATGAGGACTTTTAATGAAGTTTTTCTTCTTCCAAAGGAGTTGAAGCAGTTAAAAGAAGTGAATTCTTTGTTTAATTGACAGTCACAAAAGCAGTTACTCTTTAGAAAGTTTTGTGAAAGAATTTCAGAATAACTTGGACACAGGGTTCACATAGACATAGTAAAAGGAAATCAATAGAAATTTCTACAGTAGCTTAATATTCATTTTTATTAAGATAGAATTTTATTTAAAAAATATATTTTTATTGAATTCAGAAAGGAAAGAAGAGGGAGAGAGAGATAGAAACATCAACGCTCCCTACTGGGGATTGAGCCCGCAACCTGGGCATGTGCTCTTGACCGGAATGGAACCTGGGACCCTTCATTCTACAGGCCGACACTCTATCCACTGAGCCAAATTGGCCAGGGCAAGATAGAATTTTTAAATACAATCATGGGTATTCATATCACTGAGCAGTATCACTGAGCAAAGTTAAGATTTATTGGAACTACTTATCTGCCTGTTTCTACAAACATAAATGCATTGTATAGTTGGATGTTTTGATTTATTTATTAGTGTCTATTCCAGCTGTTTAAATAGTCATGTGTTTTTTTAATTTAAAAAATATTGACTGACCTGTTTTTGATGTAGATGCACATGTACAAGTTCCCTCCCCACAATCCCACACTGCTCTGTAGCCATGCCAGGCTCCCAGATCTCTGGGAGACCCTTCCGGGTAGTTCCACAAAGTGTCTTTCTTTTTTTAAATATTTTTATTGATTTCAGAGAGGAAGGGAGAGGGAGAGATAGAAACATCAATGATGAAAGAGAATCACTGATTGGCTGCCTCCTGCATGTCCCTGCACTGGGGATTGAGCCTGCAACCTGGGCATGTGCCCTTGGCTGGAATTGAACCTGGGACCCTTCAGTCCACAGGCCGACGCTCTATCCACTGAGCCAAATCGATTAGGGCACACAAAGTTTCTGATCACTCTGAGTTAATAGTATGATTTTTTTTTAAAGATAATTCTAATTTTCTAGAAATTTCTGTTTCTATTTTTTTTTGTATATGTTCTTCATATTCTGAAATTTGCTTGTTCAGTTTAAGCAAATTTAAAGACTTAACAGAATTTTCCTAGGCTCCATTGCTCCTTTAAGAATTACTGCAAAATGTTCTGTATGTGTTATATACTAACAGTTTAATTTCAAGAGGCTATTAAGTAGCTAATACTATGTACATATTATATTACACTATTCAGGATTTAGTTGTCTTTTTTTGAATCGTGAGCAGATAGTTAAGAACAAAAATTTCAGAAAATGTTTTTTGTTTCCTCTGGTTTTGATTTTCTTCTGATGCTTCTTGTTGTCTTCTTTCGCTGCGGATCCCACAGGGTCACCTCCACATTGCTCAGGTGCCTCAAGGGGAGCAGGTGCAGATCACGCAGGACAGCGAGGTGAGTCGTGGCCACCAGCACTGCCTGTGGCCTTTCTGCATTCTGATCTTTGTCAGATGGGGCAGACAACTGGGAATCCCCAGACAACACAACGTCCAGCATTGACCATCCGACTCTCATTTCCTTGGGCACAAACTGGCCCTGCCTGTCTTCCTGCCTTTGCTGCACTGCGGGTTTATATGGGCAGTCTAGTTTTCTTTGTCAACACTTGCTATATCCAGTTTTTGCTTCTGGCTGGAGCTGACCTCCGAATACCCTTTTTCTCCCTGCCCATCCTGCTTTCCTGTCTTCCCATCTGAGATGCAGATCTAATTCCCAGCATGGCTGTGGTCCTGCTCTCCTGCCCCAGGGAGTTCCCCGGCTTGGAGAGTGGGAAGAGCAGGAGGTGGGGCCCTGCTCCTGTGACATGACCTCACAGGTTCTCCTCACCTTCATGAGACTGGGCTCTGTCTCTGGAAGACCAGTGCCACGTTGTGGGTTGATTGGGAACTGGTGAGACTGCATGTGTACGTCCTGTGAGCTTTCAGTGCATCTTTTCATGGCTTTTCCCATTCCTGCCACTCCTAGGATTGCCTCAGCTGCCTTAAGTTCATGAGATCCAGGCTTCTAATCACTGGTGGTGTTCTGCTTTTCATTAATTCTAATCCATAATAAAAACAGAATGTAGGGAGTCCATCCCAGCTGCACAAGTGCTGTTGCATATGTGTATCAGCTGCTATAGGGGGTCAGTGTGTGAAGGTCAGGTAGACCATCTGTGTTATTGGAAGGTGAGCTTCAGTCCACAGGCCGCTGATATTCTCTGAGCGGCGCTGATATTCTCTGAGCCCCTCAGGGGGGACCTTGTCTTTCTAGCCTTCTTGTCCAGGGCATGGGTGGTTGTTGGCTGCCTGTTAGGGGAACACTGACGATCGTTTCCTACAGCACAAGAGAGCATCAGTAGACTCAGTGTACTTGTCTTCCTCTGACTTTGCCTGTGGCTGCCGAGCAGTGCACACTCGCTCTGCTGGCCAAGCATGGTGTGGAACGGCGTGCCCCTGGCAGCATGGACTGGGAGCTAAAAACATACTTATTTCTAGGCTGGGAAGATAGTACCAGCTTTGTGCAGACCTGCACTGTGGTGTGTTGTTACATGGTGTCGGGTTTCCTCACACACCAACGGCGAAAGCAGGTACAGATCCAGCAGCGACTGTGCAAGTGCTAACTTGTCAAAGAGCCTTTCAGGAGAACCTTTCGAGGGAAGCATTTGACTAGTTTAATGGTGCCTAATGGCTTTTCAGAGCTGCTTTGTGGACACTTCTGCTCACATTCTAGTGGCATGCTAGGCTGCTTTCCTTAACTAGATAAGGCATTCGTGCCCCTTTGACTTTTCAGTTTCCAGAACCCAGGGGCTGAGGTGGAGGTGGTGGTAATTTGCTTACTGACTCGTGTGTGAGGCATTTGCTGAGCTCCCAGTCTGTGCAGGTTGCTGTGTGAAAATGTGAGGTAGTGTCTCCCCACAGTGCACTGAGATGAGTGTGCTAGGAGGGCCGGAAGTGACGAGCACTCGCTGGTGCAGAGAACAGAGGGGCTCTGGGATGCTTTCTAAGGGAAATTCTTTCATTTGGTCCCCGAAGATTTGTCCGTGGGCCCAGCCTGCAAAGGGAAGAGATAAGCAGGGGTTCTGAGGGAAGAATAGGGATACATGGCTGAATGAATTCCTATGAGAAGAGCAGTAAATACCTGGTCAAAGGAGGGGATTGATTCATTCATAGGAGTAATTAATTCAGTAATCGTCATGTGTCCAAACGAGGGAGTGAGAGAAAGCACGTTGGTGTGGCTGAAGCTGTGGCAGGGGAAGGAGAGCAGCAGGCAGTGAACTTGGAGATGGCCTTGAGAGGCCTATCAGAGTTAAAGAGCTGGATGGTGATTAGAGAGTCTGCTGGCTCACCCTAATGTGGGTTCCTCGGGAAATGTGCAGAGTGGTGCAGGAAACCTGCAGACTAAGTGGGGTGTCCTGTTGAAGGGCAGGGAGGCTTAATTTTTAAAGACACAGACAAGGGATGGCCAAACGACAATTAAGAAGTGTCAATCTAGAAGGCGCGTACACTTAGTCAGAATGCTTAATTTGCTGGTAAGTCATTTGAAAAGAAGGAAAATTGATATAATAGTAAAAGGAAATAATCAACATACATTTTAATATTATTTTTGCTAAAAGAATCAGTATTTTTTAAAAATATACATTTTTATTAATTTCAGAGAGGAAGGGAGAGGGAGATATAGAAACATCAATGATGAGAGAAAATCATGGATCTGCTGCCTCTTGCATGCCCCACACTGGGAATTGAGCCCGCAACCTGTGCGTATGCCCTGACCAGGAATCAAATCGAGACCTCCTGGTTCATAGGTCCATGCTCAACCACTGAGCCACCAGGGCTGGGCATAAGACTAATTCTTGAATTTAAACTTTTGAAACCGATTTTATCCCCTTTTTCAGTTTTCATAGCTGAATCCCTCTTGTCTAAATAATCCAGTATTTTTTTTTGTTTCCATTAGGAATTGAATGCAATGAATTAGAAGACATTGTTGATAATATTAATGATTACTTTGTAATAGGTTACAATATACAATTGTCTTATCACAATAAAGTTTTACCTTGTTCATTTAAAAATAATTATTTTGTCAAAATAAGGATGTCTGCAAAGAGACATTTAGCAGAACCTATCAAACTTAAATCAATTACTTTTTTTAAAAAACAAGTGAAAATGAATTTCCAACTGGTGAGATCCCAGTAGGCCTGTGGTCTGGTTAATTGTATTGTGTCCTGCCAATTTCGTGTTTGTGATAATGCACTATTCTTATGTAAGATGTCTCCATGGGGGAACCTGGGTGATGGGTACAGGGACTTCTTGCTATACCACTTTTGATTCTTCTTGTGAATCTAAACTTGTCTCAAAATAAAAGTTAGAAGAAAATTGCATTTGCAGTCGAGGGAGGGGTGAAAATGTTTTGTTTTTAGTTTGTTATTTTTTATAAGAAAAAATAGTAACCTGTAAACTCAGCTTAAATATTTTGTTTTGAGCGCTTATTTCTACAAGGGTTGAGTTTTTGTAGACTTGGTGTTCATGGTTTTGCTGGTTACTCACGAATGGCATGGGGAAGTTTTTGCCGCTATGTCTTGAAGTCATTTTTATTCTTGATCTCTCTTTTTTTTCATCCATTTTGCAGGGCAATCTACAGATACACCATGTGGGACAGGATGGGCAGGTAAGTGCTAACCTGCCTTCACTCCATGCTGCTTGCTGTAGTAGATCCCCAGACACTGCATTGCCACAGGGAGGGATGGAGGAGTGGGGAGCCAGAGGGCGGAGCTGCATTAGCCTCAGGGAAATACTGGCTTTACTTGGTGGCTAAGGACATCCGATGGGGACACATTGACTGCAGGACTCTGGGCTGCATCTGCCTCTTTGTGGAGTTTCAGGTAGCTCTTAGAATTGTAAATGAAACTCCACATCTGTTTATAACTGTTTTCTGTAAATTGACATAAATGTTGTTGATCACTGTGTTTGTACAGTAGCTGTAGAATAAAACAAGGTAGGTTTTGTTCATGGATATTGCTGTCAAACTCCAGCTACTGCTGGAATTTTTCTAATCTTGGACAAAAGTAACGGAGACCATCATTGAATACATTTGATACGAATTGTTTTCACAAAGAGAAGTGTGCCAACTGTGAGGGTTTCTAGGGAGTGATTTGCTTTCTAAGATCTAGTGAAATTGCTGGTGAATTCGGGGGATTAAAATTTTCATGTCCTTGCCCAGCTGGCATGGCTCAGTGGTTGAGCGTCCATCTATGAACCAGGAAGTCATGGTTTGATTTCTGGTCAGGGCACATGCTTAGGTTGCAGGCTCCATCTCTAGTAGGGGGTGTGCAGGAGGTGGCCAATCAATGATTCTCTCTCATCATTGATATTTCTGTCTCTCTCTCCCTCTTCCCACCTCTCTGAAATCAGTGATTGATATATATGTATAAATTTTTCATGTTCTTTTGAAGAGTTTTTATTAAAGTGATGTTTGCAACCTTTGAATAATTATGACAGAATTCTGGATGATCTTCCTTTTTTTATAAAACATGAACCATAAACACAGAACTCATTTACTTCAAGATAATAATACTTGTTATTCTCAAAACCAAGTGCAGTGCTCCCCTTTGAAACACCTGTTTTCCCATTGTCACCATGAGTGCCTGATGTCTGCCATGAGCCGGTCGTGAAGAGCATGTGTTGCTAGACTAGGAAATGAAAGGATAGTTATAGACCTTGGATTTTCTCTTGAACCCTCAGAGGGCCTTGGGAGAATTGCACTTATTTAAATTGGAGTTTCTTGGTTTGAAAATTTCTTCTTGAACATACACATGAGGTTTTAATCAGTGTCCTGAAGCAGTATTAACATATAACTATAACAGCTTCCATGGAAAAGAGCCAAAAAGCCAAAGAAATGAAAAATTAAAATCCACAGTTCCTCTGAGTTGCCTTGGTGATAAAGTTGTGGGCCAGGCACAGTAGAATTGGTTCTCAGCAGCTTCAATGTGATGTTTCTCTTGGTCAGGCCAGAGATGTCGGGGTGGGGTAAGAAAGTACAGGTCACTATCAGTAGTTTCTCTTTGTTTTTGACAATTTAATGGTTTGTATTCATACTGGGAGGGAAATTTGATCCTAATTAAGATATAGCCTGAACTTTAATTGATGAGAAAAGTAAGTCTGTTGATCTTTTTTTAAAAAAATATATTTTATTGATTTTTTACCGAGAGGAAGGGAGAGGGATAGAGAGTCAGAAACATTGGTGAGAGAGAAACATCGATCAGCTGCCTCCTGCACACCTCCCACTGGGGATGTGCCCGCAACCAAGGTACATGCCCTTGACTGGAATCGAACCTGGGACCTTTCAGTCCACAGGCTGATGCTCTATCCACTGAGCCAAACCGGTTACGGCAAGTCTGTTGATCTTGATCTCCCTGTTGTTTCTGTCTCTATGCCTGAGCAAAATTCCACTAGAGATTTTGAAATATAATCAGGTTTTTATATTATGTTACTATCCTGTCATTGTGTTTAATCAGGCAGCACCATTCCAAATACATCTTGAAGGCAGAGAACCCAGCTTTGTGGATAGGTATAGCAGGCACATGAGCTCTCTTCATGATTGTTAGCTCAGGAAGGCTCCTAAAGTTCACATCCGAAGAGCCACCTTCTGCAGCTTCCCCAAACAAGAGCGTTTTCTGCGCTTTTCCATTCTACACACTCACCAAGTGCTGCTGCCTCTCCTAAGTTCCTGTCCATGCCTCATCGGCCTGTTCACACGAGCAGGTATTTACTGTGGATTTATGTCTGTTCCAGCCTATCTGCCTCCGAGTTCCCACTGACTCTTTCTCTTAGCAACCTTACTACAAAATAAGTAGAACTACTGCACTGATCACTTTCTGTGTCACATTCATATATATAAAAACCCAGGGTCTGTAACGACTGACCGAAGGCTTGATGAACACTGGAAGTCAGTCCTACAGTCAGTGCTGGGTTGCCGTAGCGACCCAGCACTGACTGCTGAGGGGGCTGCAGATCAGGCCCAGAGAGAGAGGCAGGGTCTGATCCACAGCCTCCGTGATAGCTGGTGATCAGCTGTTGCCTCTCTCTCTCTCTGCACCGCCCCCCTCTCCCCCTCTCCCTGGGCTTCGCCAGCAGCCACACCTCTCTTTCTCTCCGGGCCTCTCCGGGGGCTGCTGATGAGCACCGCCTCTCTGATCAGGCCCGGAGATAGGCCCAGAGACACTGACTGGCATAGAAACAGACCACTCAGAACCAAATCTGGGTGAACTGTGAGGAGCCAATGGCTGCCTCATAGGTGGAGCTTCTGACACTGACTGGCATAGAAACCAGTG